GTCTTGCAGCTGTGATCATATACAAAAGCAGAATTCCATGTTGTTTCTCGAATCCTTTCTCCATCAAACTTGAAAAAGATTTATGTCTCTCTGAATAGAAAGCAAAATCTTTTGCCATTCCATTTTTATATCTCCATGAATCCATCAATGCCAAATTGTCCATTAAATAAAAAAAAGACTGGTAATTTTCCTTGCTTAATTTTAATTTGCTTTTCAGATGTTCTATCAATCAATGGTGAAGCAACTCCATTCCAATCTCCTATCAAACACCAACTTCGGTATGAAAAAGCTGACAATTCATTCAAAAGCTGCATTAAAAATTTACTCTTATCATCATTCAGAGCATATATTTCCACAACAATCATTTTAAGTCCATATATCTCCACTTCAACCGCTACATATCTACCATGGTCGTCTGAACTATTGTGTCCAGTTTTGAGCAGTTTTCATACACTTTATGAAAAAAATCAGGCAAACTGGAGCAAGTTGAGAGAAGCTCAATAAGGATGCTAAGTTTGGTTCCTTCAATTCAACAAGCAAACTTGTAAGAGAAAAAGGCAAAATATTGCTGGTTCTCACCTACAGTTCTTAGTTAAAATCACTCCAGCATATCATCAATGATCCACAGAAGTTCCAAATGGCAACAATATCTCTATATTTATTCTAGCAGCACTACTAGAATAGAGCTGGAACCCATCATCCAAAAGGAGCCAAACAATTTTACCCTTTTTTTCTTTTTGTGGGGAAAGAAAAAAAGAGAAAGAATAAATGAAATAAATGAGGAAATAAATGAAAATTAAACTGAAATACTGATATTGGACTGCAAATAAAATTCTGTTTAAGGTAGGGTGCCTACATACTAAAAGCTCAGTTTGAAGAATCCAAGGGTTTAAGGAGAAATTACTGTGGACAGAATGTTAATTGGTACATATAAGTAACATGCATGGTTTTTTTTAAAGCAGTAAGGAAACTTGTGCAGGGTTGAGATTATACTGTCTTGTGGAAACCTGTTAGCTTCTCTTTCTCTTTCACAAGGAACAACATCCCTCTCTATATGGAATACAGTATTCGCTTTTCAACTAAGTCTCCCATTCACATCAATAGTAGCTTCCCCTGATAGCAAATAGTAATCATGTAGAAAAAAATTTTCTTTCCCCAGGAGCAGGAGAGGGAGTTAAACTTCCCCCAGCTGTTATTTACATAACAAAAAGCGTGCACGTAAATTATGATTACGCAATTGTCACGCCTACCCTGGTCTTCAGTTTTTAAGTTACGCTTCTTTTACTAAAATAGCGCCCGTAGCATTTAAAAGATATAGCAGGTAAAAAGGAGCTGGGAGAAAGAAAAGGAAGCAGGCGAGGAGCGAGGACATCCCCCTTTGGGACTGGGCTAGTGGGACGCAGCTGGGGCTCGAGCCATCGGTCTCGGAGGCTGCTCACTGGCTCATCGGCAGCATATTGCTCGATGTCCCCCTCAAACTCGGGAGGTCCCTAGAACGTCTCCGCTACTCTGTTACTGTGTTGTGGAAACTGCAGTCGCTGAAGCAGGTTATAAACTAGGCCGGACTGCGGCAGTGACACTTAGGCCTTCCTCTGCGCGCTTCGAGTCATGCTTCCGACCCTTGCTGGGGTTGTTGGGAAACCTCCATCTCTGAGCGGAACAAAATAATACCCGTCACTTCTACCGGAACCAAAAAGCAGGGAACCTCCGCTCTTGACCGGCGATAGGACTGCACAGGAAATAGGCAGGAGAATTCTTACAGGGATCCGGAATTTGGTCTTGCAGCTTCCGGCCAGCTCAGTCTAATTAGTCTTGGGTGGGCAGGATTCTGAATCTGTAGGCATTGGTCGTCCAAGCTAAGATGGTGCTTCTAACGATGATTGCGCGGGTGGCTGATGGGCTTCCTTTAGCGGCTTCTATGCAAGAGGATGAACAGGTGAGTGTGAGATACCGTGTTTTTCCCCCCATTTCTACTCAGGATTTAATTTTTGATTAAGTAATACTGTATATGCGACGCAGCTTAAGCATCTGAAGTGTACTCGCTAAATGCTAGCGTTAAAATGGAAAGATAGTTAGGAGTAAACCCAATGGGGTTGCATAGGGTTATTTTTTCTTTATTTACTATGAGATGGCTTGTAGTTGTCTGGGCTAGAAATAACATTCTCTGTGAGCTTTGCCAGTATGGTTACTGAAGCATAAAAATAAGTTCCTTATCATCTTCTAAGGTTAGGCATTAGAAAATGAGTCCCTATCTAAATGGCCTTCATTCTCCCCCAGTCCCACTTAGAGGAAGATGGTCATACAGTTATGGGATTTTCTCTTTATTTCATCTGAATATGTTCCAGCATGTCACCTGCTTATGTATGCTGCTGGAGAACAGGAATCTGCAGATATATACCCAGTGGATCTGATAAAGTGGACTGTAGTCCACAAATGTTTATGTTTTAAGATGCCACAAGATCAAAGTTTTGACCGGTTGCTTTCTAATCATTCACCAGAATTTGAAAAAATTTGTTGAAGATGTATGCTAAAGATTTTTTGTTTTTTTGGGGGGGGGGTGTTTGTTGTTGTTTGGTAGTCGGGTCGAGACCTGCAGCAGTACCAGAGCCAAGCCAAGCAATTGTTTCGGAAACTCAATGAGCAGTCTCCTACCAGATGCACATTAGAAGCTGGAGCAATGACTTTTCAGTAAGTATAAATAACAAATTTTGGTGAGGTTCTCAAACTTTCAAAAGAAGTGACATCATGTATCTTTTTTAAAACATAGTTTTGGAAGAGTTCAGTGTGTTGAAGTCAGTTCTCAGTTTATCAGCTTAGTCCTTTGCAAGCTTTACTTTGCTTACATTAAGGGGAAAGATGAGGAAGGGACATGGGCTTGTACATAAATTATTTTATATTGATATGGGAGATCTGAAGACAACTTGTAATAGTTTTCATCTGCTATTGAAAATTATACAACTTAAAAGCATTATTGTATCAAGCTTTTGTATCGAATCCATTCCATCAAATTATTATATTGAAAGGAAATATATCCCTTTATGATAACCTCAAGTTGGGTAAGGATTGGAGCATTAGTAGTAGAACATAATGCTTGTCCACATCCTTAGTTACTACAAATAGGTATTGATCCAAGTAACTATATAAGAGGAGCTACTGGACGCTCTTCCCTCCAAATGAGATCCAGAAAGGCTTGAATGTTATCTGTAAGGAATTAATTAAAAGCATTATAGCAAGCCTCAGAGTATTCTCGGATTCTTGAAGGAGCATTCAGGGATATGAGTCAGTTCTTCACAGTCTGGAAGAACTCAGCAGGTTCATAGAATCACGGAATTGTAGACTTGGAACGGATTACAAGAACCATCTAGTCCAAGCCTTTGCAATGTACAGAAGAACCAACTAAACCATTTGTAAGAGGTGGTTGTCCACAGCATTAAAAGCTCCAGAGATGTAAAACTCACAACTTCATAGGTAGAATATTCCACTTTTGTACAAATCTTACCATCAGAAAGTATTTCCTGGGATTTTAACAGAATTTAGGTGGCTATAATTTATATTTCTTACTTTTGGTCTGTTTTTAAGAAAATAATTCTTGGCCATTTTTCCTGTAGTTTTCCTTTATGTATCTCATGGTTATCATGTCTCCCCTAAGTCTTCTTTTCTGAACATCCCACGTTCTATCAGCCTATCCTCATAGGGTCCTCCTCTGAACCCTCTCTAACCTGACAATAACCTTCTGTAAATGTGGTGCCCAGAATCATACACACTACAGATAATCCACTAGAACTGAGTAGAGAGAAATAAGGTTTGTGCGTGTCTTTGAGACAATGGTGCTTCTAGTGCAGCCAGTAACCCTTCTAGCTGCTGTGTTTACACTACTGACTCGTGGTCAGCTGGTCAATGAGCTTAACCAAATCCTTTTCAGATGTAGTGTTTCCAACACCTGAATTCCCCATATTGTATTTATGTCCTACATTTTTTCTGCCTAATGTAATATCTTACATTTCTGTTTCCAGTCTGTGCTACTGAAATCACAATTTCCTTTGGGTATAAAGATAGTGGCAAAATAGGACCTGAGTTCCTCTGCTTTTTTTATGGTCATTTATTAAAAATTCTCCATCTGAACTAGGGAGTGAGCCCACCAACTCAGTTGTCATCTTCTTGCGATTGACATATTTGAAGAAAACCTCCTTGCTGGATTTTGCCTCTTTTGCTAGCCTGAGTTGGTTTTCTGCTTTTGCCTTCCTACCGTTCTAGGCTGAAGCATTGTAGAATTCTTTGGTTGTAAACCTCTTTTGCTGCATATATTGCTATACTGTAAACTTTTAAGTGGACTTTATGCTGCATCTTATCAAATTTGAGATAAGTTTTCTCCACCTTTCTCTGTATTTTCAAACTGATGGCCATTAGTTAGGTTATCTAACTTAGAAACCCATTACAAAATATTTCACAATTTTTTTTTTTTGCTAAGAGAATTATATAGAAGGAGAACATCAAGAGAACAAAGTAAAGTTGTTGTAATAATAATAATTTATTATTCATAATAATTTATTAAACTTGTATGCCACCCAACTCTGAACAACTCTGGGTGGCTCACAACAATCAAACAAAGAAATTACAATAAAATCAATAAAACATAAAAGTTAAAGATAAAAGATGGCAAGCATGATCAGGCAAGGGGTTTCACTCTCCCTCACCATTGTCCTTGTTTAAGATGCAGTAGAACTCTAAAGTATAATTTGAGGCTAAATATAAATTGTGATTCTTGTAATGTAGATTGGAGTGCTGTTTGTAGTATGGCCACTGAAATCAATAGTCCAAAGATGGGAGTTTGTTTTTCTTCCAGGTTAACAATTGGCTTATATCTTCTTTTACAGTTACATTATTGAGAAAGGAGTTTGTTATCTGATATTATGTGAAGCTGCTTTCCCCAAAAAAATGGCTTTTGCATACCTGGAAGATTTGCACTCAGAATTTGATGAGCAACATGGAAAAAAGGTGCCAACGGTGTCCAGACCCTATTCTTTCATTGAGTTTGGTGAGATTCTACTTCTTGAGATTAATGACATAAGGATAGTCCAGGGCCAGTTCTTTGGTAATCTTAATGGCCCTTCCTTGTTGGCCCATTCCACTTCTCTCTTTCAACAAATTGCTTATGTATCCTGAGCTAAATGCATGTATACACATCTGTCTAAATTATTCTCTGATTTGTGCTTCAACTGATGGGATAAAAAGATTGTGTGGCATATAAATGAAAACGTTCAAAGAGATAGAACAGTATACCACAGTAAACACTGATGTCTGCATTTAAAGCATTTCACATCTTGCATTGTTCTGTTAGCCCTATACGGTAGAGCAGACTAAGGAACCAATGCCATATAAGTTAGGACTACTTATACTTTTATTGTAACAATTATAGTAATAGAAACTTGCAAGTCTAAATGTGCTTCACCTCTCCCTTTATATTAATTTTAACTAGGGAGGGGCCTATTTGAGACATTTACTCAAACTAGTTTCTTGGAACAGGCTCAAGCCCCACTTTTCCAATTGTTGCCTTGGTAGCAGCTCTTCCTCTTGTCCTTCAGAGTCATTCCCTGTGACATCTATATGTTCTGCCTTGTTAGACTGCATTTAATTTCAGTATAGGTGGTCCTTGCTTAATGACAGTAATTGGGACCGGCAATTCTCTCACTAAGTGATGCGGTCGTAAAGTGCAATGTCAGGTCATGTGACTTATGACAGCAGTTATGGCAGTACTGGTTGCCATCATTAAGTGAATCCTGCATGCTTGTTAAGCACAATGTCATGTGATCACCATTTGCAACCTCCTGACAGCTTCCCCGTTGACTTTGCTTGTCAGAAGCTGGTAGTGAAGGACACAAACAGAGATCACATGACCACCGGATGCTGCAACCATCATAATTGTGAGCTGGTTGCCAGGCGCCTGAATCGCAATCATGTGACCACAGGGACGCTGCAACAAGAACTGGTCGTATGTCTCCTTGTTCAGCACCATCGTAACTTCAAACAGTCGCTAAACAAGTGATCATTAAGCAAGGACTACCTGTACTTGCAAAGTTTTATTCCACTAACCAAGAGGTAGAGAATTCAAATTACAGTTCCCAGTATGATTCACCATTGGTCATGCTGACTGGGATTATGGATGTTGAAAACTAACATATCTGAAGACAAAGAGCTCTGCATTGTCTAGTCTGGTAGTGCTTTTCTGTATCCCAATAAGACATCTTTTTCATTTCTTGTTTCCTGATTGCTTTAAGTTAAGATGCTAAAGACTGAACCTTCTATATGACAAGACTATGCCAAGTTAGTTTTTCTTCTCTCCAGATAGCTGATATTTTAGATTAATTTGTATAGTTAGGAAATTATTCTTCACTCCATACTGTGAGTTTGCCTTATGGTTTGTTAAAATGAATGAACAGGGATGTAATCAGATTGTGGTTAGTGACTATATTTGCTACCAGCGTAGTTGCTGAATCCTGTTAGGGAAACCAAGATAACTAATAGACAAGAGGTTCATTGGGGTTTTTTTTCTCCTAGAGCAGTTAATTATCTTCCTATCTCCTCCACCCACCCTTTTTTCCATTCCATGCAATAACTCCTCTCTGCTGCATGATTTGAGAGTACGAATTGGCTAAATGTGCAGAATAATAAATATGATAGATGCGCAAGAATGTGGAAACAGAAGAGTTGTACATGAACAATTACTTTTTATTCCAGATACTTACATCCAGAAAACCAAGAAGCTGTATATAGATAGCCGTGCAAGAAGAAATCTTGGCTCCATTAATACAGAGTTACAGGATGTACAAAGAATCATGGTAGCCAACATTGAAGAAGTCTTACAACGAGGCGAAACTCTTTCAGGTACAGGGACCATTGGGTGCATAAATCAGAAGTTTTCAATTTTTTTCAGGCCATAGAACCTATTAGTTCTTATGAAGTTTTTTTGTTTTGTTTTGTTTTGTTTTTGTTTTGTTTTTTGCTCTTAGTCTATCACAGAACCCCATCAAGTTCTTGTGGAACCCTAGGGTTTCACAGAACACAGTTTGAAAAACTCTGGCAAAAACCATTGCCCCTTTTGGGAGATGTTTAAACACATGATTGCAGGAGGAAACTGGCAAGCTGCTCTGCATAAAATAGTACTTCCTGTGGATAATGAAGGACCACCCTAATTCTCAGATGGCAACAGAAAAATGTCAGTACTGACAAAAATCAAATATGGAACGTGCACTTACTCTCCTGTTTTGGGTACCATGTGAAGACCTTTTAAAAGCTTTGTTTGTATTTTAATAGCATGTAGTTAATACCTCTGGGAATTTACTTGAAATGTAGGGTGCAAATATCTATCCTATTCTGTAAAAACAAACAAACCAACAAACCAGCAGACTAGGCAAATTATGATTTTTGTGAGAAGTTCTAAATCATTCATGGTCTTGAGTTTCAGTGCCATTATTTCATGTTGAGGAATCAGTGCAATGAATAATAAGCCTACATCATTAGTACTGCTTATTTAACAGTATTTTTAATTCATCTATTGGAGTTGTCCATTCCAGCTTAGCAACAGTTTGAGAAATGGTGTACCTTGTCAATTACATTTCTAACTCTTCTTGAGAGAAATAAAAAGCAGGCATAGGCAGGCACCTCTAGGTGATTAGAAATAGCCAAGCAATACGGTAAAGCCTGTTATCAAATTGTAGGGAACAGGAAAAGATACTGCTGTCACCTACTTCTCAGTTCCCATCTGTCAGGATTTTCCAGCTCCCCTGATGGCTTTCATTCTCTTCCTTAGCATTGTTCTCTTGTCTATGATGGGGGCAATTTCTTCTTTTTCAACTGAACTTATGTAGCTCATTCTGTTGTACCACTTTCCAGCTACCCTCACTGCACTCTTGTGTTTATTTTTTGCTAGAGAAGACAATCAATAAGAAGGTTAGGAGCAGACACTGCCCAACAGAAATCCCCTCATCATACCTCTCCATGCCCAAGTTACTGACTAGAAGGCACCCCCCCCCAAAACATCTACATAATCAGTCATTGCCTACATAATCTGGTGGAACAACACTTTTCTTCATCTCTGTACCTAAAGATCTTGATTCCCCTACTTTTTAAAGGCAGCTAATAACAGATATTCACCTACTTTTATATTATGCTCATGCAGTTTAACTTTGCCACACCACTATGTTTGCATAATTTAGGAGAAGTAGCAGTTACCTAACTCAAAGTTGTTAACTGCCTGCCTCTCAGAGTGATTTCCCATTTGCTTTTCCTGTAATACTGCCTTTCCCTTAATCGAGATGGTGAGACAGGACAAGAAGTGGTGCAGTTAGGTGGCAATGTAATCAAACAGCTAATGCTCTCTTTATAATTGATAGTGGCAAGTAGGTAATGGTAATTTCTCTCTCTTTGTGCAAATGTCCCTGCTTAAAAACATGGGCTTTTTAAATAGAATCTATATAGAATAACAATTAATTGATACTTTTTTTGAATACAAAACCTAATCTCTCATGTTAGATAAGAACTATTTTATACCATAATCTAAAGATGTTTAAGGAAGTTAATTTATCTGAGTTGTAATTATTCTTAATGGTAGCAGCTTCTGAATTAAATGTTTTGCTTGATGTTTCAAATGTTTTGAATTAAATCTCAGCTTCTTAGTCAATTTACCAAATTACAGCAAAGACTGTATTTGTATTTCTAAAAAAGGATTATCTTTTGACAAAATATGGTTTGGTTTCTAAATTAATTCAGTGTAAATTTTTCATTCTCTCTTTCATTCTCCCTGCACTACCTGTGACCCCAAAAAGCTTTTTGTGAAGATTGGGGGCAGTTGATGGGGAGGAAGAGGGAATGAGAAACTTCCTTTCCACAAATGCAGTGGCTCACCCCATTGTGCAAGAAAGTTCACTAGCCTCACAGAGTTTTTTCAGAAGATTGTATAATTACTAAGGGGAATGAAATAATTTGCCTTACATGAATTCCCTTATGTAACTTATGATAATTATGTTTAGTCATTTTCCCCAACTTAAATAAAAAATGTTCATTATCAAAGGCAAAAGTTCCTACCCACTTGAGGGACACCTATAACATCCAGTAAGCTTTTCAGTGAGAAAGACTGAATCATATATGTCAGACTGAAGTCAGTCTTAAAACCTGAATGAATGTTTGATGAAGAGGGTGAAGCCAGATCTACTGTCTTGTAAATAATGTTGCTATTTCATAAGTATAATATTTTTGTTTGCATGCTATCTTTTTTTGAAACAGCATTGGATTCCAAGGCAAACAATCTGTCCAGTTTGTCCAAGAAATACCGCCAGGATGCAAAATATCTGAACATGCGTTCCACCTATGCCAAGCTCGCTGCTGTTGCTGTGTTTTTTATTATGCTGATTGTCTATGTGCGGTTCTGGTGGCTGTAAGAGATGAATAGGCCCCAAAGAGGGATATTTAATAATAGCAAGCATATCATCGTTATGTAGCCAAGATCACAGGATGTTCATTAGAATCTGCCTAGAGATGTCCTTATAATGAGAATTGCTGCTATTTCCAAATGTCAGAGCTTGCTGAGATTCCTCTGTAGCAGTTATATGCTTGGAAGACAAGACATTTCTCCAGCTTACAGATTGGAGTAACCTAATTTGATCTATCTATTGTTATTCAGCACTGGTGATAATTGACATATCCTAAAATAAGTGCAGCCCTGGTAGTTAGGGGTTTCTAATGGACATTCTAGAGTGTGAGCCTTATTAATTGAAGAGAAATTCCTGTTTCAAGGCTGACGTGTGTGTACATAACACACACTGATTTTTTAGTTTGTCCAGTCAATACTGATTTTATATTATCAAAACTCTTGACTCATTACCTGTTAATTTAGTAACTGCATAAAAATATTGCTTCATCTGGCTTCTGTGACTGATAAGTGAAATGGGGAAATAATTTGAGTTCACTTCACTGTAAATATTTGAGCATCATGCTAAACTATAGTTCAGTGTGTTATGACTGAGCTACAGCAGCAAGTGTTAGACGTACTTCTGAACACCTGGGGAAATACTTCATCTTTCACTTCTGATTTAATTGTGGATTGTCATATCATCTGGACCAAATTAGGTTTAATTTTAACTATAGCTAATTTGAAGTCATCCAGTTTCAAAAGCAGAAGCTTTTGGCCAATTCCTCATGACTAGGCAAGGGAATGGAAAAGAGGAGGGTCCTCAGGACCAAGATTCACTAAGGCTTGTTTACCCTGTGGCTTAGTGGCTTGTTTACCCTGTGGCTTAGATGTGGCCTTTCTCTGTTTATTTTACATTGAGTTGCTAAGTGCCCTCACAAATGTTACAGTCTGTAAGATCATCTGGATATCCCTCCTTGCAAAAGAACATTGGAAGAGCAGGCTTCTTCCTGAGAACTTGAATATATATTTTGAAAAATTAACCCCTCTGTTTCCTAGAACTTTGATTCTAAATTCTGTATCACAAACGATAAATTGCCATGGAGCAGAATCTGTAGTGAAATTACCCTCCACAAGGTATGCATATCTATTTTGGGAATTGCCCAGTTGCAAGCAAATTCAGTTCCATGAGTCCAGTTATGTCATAGAAATTCTGCAAAATAAACGGAATAGCTTCTCAGTTCTGACAAGGCCAAAGAACTTTAAGCTCTAAGGTTAAAGACTGTTGCCATCCACATGTCAGCATTGAAATAAATGTACTAAGTAAATCTTGTATGCAGTTTCCTGGTCTCTCTCCTATCTTCTTTGTATATATCTTTAAGAGACCAGTTTGAGCTTTTAAATTATAGGAACCTGTTTCCCAATCAACAGCCATATTCTGCTCCTATTGCAAGAACTCTAATATGTACTATTCTTTCATATAAACATCCTTTTTGTTTTGTTTTATTCTAATTTCCACTGGAAATTGAGGTAATGATAACAATGCTTCAAGAAAGTATTGCACAGCCATTTATCCAGGATGGTACAGGTGGTCCTTGTTTAATGACCACTTGTTCAGCGACCATTCAAATTTATGCTGGCACTGAAAGAGTGGTGGTTATGACTGGTGCTTGTGTTTATGGCCATTGCAGCATCCCCGCTGTCACGTGATCATGATTTGCAACCTTCCCTGCCAGTTTCTGACAAGCAAAGCTGGCAGGAAGTCGCAAGTTGTGGTCAAGTGAGGTCCTCAATGACTTGCACAATCCTCACTTAACACCGGCAACTGGGACTGCCAGAAATGCTGTCACTAAGCGGCACAGTCATGTTTTTGGGCTTATGGCTTAATGATGGAGCTTATGGTCCTAATTAGCATAGTTAAGCAAGGACAACCTGTATGAAGATTCCTGGACTGGGCAGAGGGTTGGACTAGAAGACCTCCATTGTCCCTTTGAATTCTGTGATTCTGTGATGGTGGTGGTGGTGGTGATGATGTATTATATCTAAAGCTGTCCAATTCCAGAACAACACTGGAGATAGAAATCAGTAGAACTCTGGAACTAAAGTATATTAAAAATCTGCATTTTTTCCTCAGACAGAATTTCCTACTTCTCAGTGATATGTCACCTGATAGATCACGATATAACAACCTTGCCAAGTTAGGTTTGGTTGCGAGTGCTCTGGCAACTCTATATACAAATAAATTTGTCCAAAATTTTCTTCCAGCTGTGTTTCAAGGCATATTTACATTAATACAATATGGCTAATACTAATCCACTTATTAACTTATTAATTGTATCCAAACTAATGGCCATACAAAGCTAGCAGATTCCATTTGTTAAGGGTGCCTGATGAAGAAAATACGTTGTGCTGGCCAGCATCATTTCACCCCACAATCAAAGCATCATTTTCCCAGCAGCACTAAATGAAAAAATAACTCCAGACCTCTTCATACTACTCAGTGCTTGTTAAAATTAGAAAAGCAGAAGTTGCTCTTGGAAACAGTGTGATCTTATATGTTGTGTGTATGGCTCTACTGTCTTATTTACAAATTGATGCTGGATCTTTGGAAAAGACATATTAATCTGAAACGACTTTCATAATAAGTTTTGATATCTATCACTAAAAAAGGATATATATAGATGAATGATATATGAATGATACATTTGGCTAATGATAGATTTGTTGGGTATGTAGATCTTCTCTGTTGCGCTGTACTGGCAAAACAGAGTTTTGTTAAGTGGAAGTCTTTTCTGTGTTGTATCAAACACCCTGTGCAGAAATGTTTCTAGTTTTGTTCTAAATACAAACCAAAACACGATTGTTCCAGACAGAAGTAGTAGAAGTAATATCAAGGCTGGTGGTATATGCTGCACTGGGATCCTCCTCTTTATTGCTGAGATCAGCTACTCACTGCAGTGATTTCTGAGGGGAAGGAGTGAAATGTGCTGTACTGGGATTAGTGGCAGCTGATGGGAGAGATGGAAGGTGCTGAGACAATAGGAGTGGACAGGCCAGTGGTAAAGGCTGTGCTAGGAACTGTTGAGAGAAGAGAGGGAGGTGAAGTAAACAGCCTTGACCTACTATTCCTGTAAAACCATTCATTTCTCTTTGGATTTTGCTTTATTGGAAACTGGAATAGCCAAAATGATCCGGGCTCTACTTCTGATACACTGGCCAATTTGAAATGGTTCATTAGAAATTTCCAGAATGCAATATTTAAAATATGACATTACCACACATAAAACAATATAAAATAAAAAAACGATTACAGAAACGCCTGTATTTATATGAAAGTAAGTCAGAACTTTCTGTATTGCTCACGTGATCCTCAAACAAAGGTACACTTTGTTTTTACATGCATTCACACCTTCTATTCAAAAAGGGCCCTTCTACCTCTCACGGATTTGTTACACTTCACGCAGCATTCTTGCCAAGTTCAATTTTTTACACAGCGTTATTTGACATTTGCCAGATAGAATCTCTGTAGCTTTCCACGGCTTAGGGCTTCACCATGTCTAAATCTGGCCCTGCTAAAAGGATTACAAAAGACATTTATGTGGTAGTGTATTTACCTGGATAGATCAGGCTGAATGTGACTCTACTTACTTTATTTATTTATTAAATTTCTCCCCTGCCCATCTCCCCTCGATGGGGGACTCTGGGCGACTCACACAAAACATTAAAAACATAAATACATATAAATACATAAAACATCAAAATTTAAAAATCATTACTAAAAAGAGGAAAAGTAAAAGTTATATAATGTTATCTCATTTGTTTCTGAAATTGGCCTTATATCCTTTAAGAATTTGTTTATTGATAATACTGGGAAACTGACAATTTAGACTATATTTACAATTGTGTAAAGGTAAGTTGGGCTGAAAGTGCCTTGTCCAAAGTTATATAGTAAACTTCATGGTTCATGGTCCTAGCCTAGTAGCCTAAGCAGTACACCATACTTGCCCTCTTTGATCATTTGTTAACCATTTTGTAGTCAGTGATACAGATATTAGAGATAACTGGAGTTTTTGCAGCTAATAGGAAATAAACTGACATAATCCTATACAGATCAACTTGCATCTGAGTACATATGCTTAGGATTGCACCGTAGGATGAATTAATATTTTGTTAGATTTATACATAGATTTATATATTTAATTAATTAAATTTAGGCACCACCTGATTCCATACTGACTTGGCAGCTCACAATATAATAAATCATAAAAACACAATACAAAACAGGATGGGATCCAGTTGCTTTATACAAAAACAGACAAAAACATACCCAACAAGGATTTTCCAAGGGATTTCAAAGAAAGGTAATAGTTAACCTGTGTAATATTTATGTAATGTGCTTTATTTATGAATGAATATAGGAATCACTGGAAATTTGATATATTTCCAGTAATTTAAATTATCAACTCATCTGTAAATTTATAATCTTGTTCAAGTAAAATAGCATTTGGGAATTATTTTAAGTATCAGAAGGTTTTAAGACTACATTCTTAGACTGGAAGGGGAAAAATCATCTAAAAATGTAACCCAGTTATTTAATTTGGATTGGAAGAGGCCACTGGAACAGATTTCCACTGATTGTAGTGAGGAGGAGAACAAGAACGTTTTTCTGTTTAGTGAGAGTCCACTATGTATCATAGGCTGTAGCCCTAAATCTCTCTATTTTAAGTATACTTTATGCAGTATATTTGAGATGGAAGACCACTGCTTTTTGTATTTTGTGTCATTTTTTATTTTTCAGCTGAAAAAGTTGGAATTATGGAAAGCACTTCTGACTTAATTTTTAAAACGTTTTATATTATGAATATAATATTTCATAATTATATATAAGTTCATTATACTATGCATGCAGGCTCTTACTATGCTTTAAAATGCAAACAGGCAGTAGTCATTATCAGACACAAAAGACAAAAGCAATTTATTTAATTTATATTTTTCTTTTTTTTTCATTTCTTTTTTAATGCTTTTTAATTAACAAAAGAAAAAAAACCACAAGGATAATAATGATGGAAATACATACATTGTCAAAAAAAAGGAAGAAAAAACAGTGCTTTAACAAAAAAGTGAAATACAACAAAAAAAACCCAGTATATGTCATAACAGTAAACAGTTACAATTTTACATATACTTATCTAATGCAAATATTATGACTATCGTTTTTAATCTACTGTATTTTGTTTAAATGTGTCCCATATTTCATTGTACTTGTCCATACAGGTCTACATCTATAGGCAATCCGCTCATAAGTGGCAAGTGCAATCAGGTCTTCAATCCATTG